GAAGATTTTTTCGGATCGAAAAGATTTTTTAGGGTTAAAATCTTATTTTGAAGATTTTTTTTTGGAAAACATTGAGATTTTTAGGGTACTTTCTCTGGCAACACTGCCCGCCAAACACTTTCCTGGGAAATGAAGTATATTCGGCTTTTCATATGTACACAATCGGCTCCTTAAACGTATACAAACCGAACGTCAACAGGGACAGTAGAAGAGCAACAAATTTTATTTAGTTGCATTCAAAAACATTAGACGAAGGCGGTTGATGTCGCATTATTGTTGAATAAAGTAGGTACACTGAGAAAATTATGTAATTAGTAGTAGTAATTTTATTTTCAGCAGGTCCTGATTTAAAAACAGCTTTGAGAAATTCAAACAAAATTGAAAATTAAAATAAATAAAAGATTATAGACAATAACAACAAATCGTCACTAGACACGAATAAAGGCGCGCTAGTGTTTCGACGGCGAAAAAAGACGAATACAAAAATTTTAGGAAAAAAGGCGCTTAAGAAAAACTTCGGCGAAGAAAGATGCCTAACCTAGTTGACGGCGAAGACGCGGTCAACTTTTGAGCTCGCGCCTCATTCGTGTCTAGTGACGAAATGTTGTTAAAAAAAATATTGCTTAGGTCTAATTGCTAGGCAGACACACAACATTTATTGCTATTGTCTATAATCGTTTATTTATTTTGATTGTAAATTTAAAGTTTGTTAGAATCAGGGACGTGAACCGGGCGAAATATTTGGACGGTTCGGTTCAGCGGTTCGGACCATTTTTGCACTTTTGGATTGGTTCGTCAAAGCGGTTTTTTTGCTCTTTGAATCGGGGTTTAGGTTCGGTTCAATGGTTCGGAAATAAAAAAAAATAGCGCGTATCGAGGAAAGGTTTTTGTTACTAGCGGATCTAAGCAACGTGGGTAGTTGGTGTAATGCAAACTATATACCACTAAACCTTAAAAAATTTAAGATTATTTGTTTCTCTCGAAGGGCAGTTCAACCAACTGTTAATTTAATATCAAATTATAATCTGGAGCAGGTATCCAATTTTGTCGATCTTGGTATCACAATGGATTCCAAACTCAATTTTAACCTTCATATTAATGTTACAGTCAATAAAGCCAAAGGCGTTTTTGCATTTGTGAAGCGATAGTCAAAATAGTTCAAAGATCCTTATGTTACAAAATCTAAATTTTAATATTTCCTGTCAAGTGTCAAGACACTTTTGACCTCTGTTTTTGAAGCCACGCAAAACTAATTTTGGACTCGATTTTTACTATAAAGAAAACTATCATTTCCACTCTCAATAATTGAAATACTCAGCCCTATTCTGCATTTCGATTTGAATCGAAATATTCTCCGTTTGGCAACTTTGGTATTCTGCGTTCCGTTTCCTTTCGATCAATCTTTGAAATGTACGATTATACCTATTCTACATTTCGATCGGAGTTCCGTTTTTCTAAGTTGCAAATTTGCTGACGGAGAACGTTTCGATTGTTATTTTGGTGGGTTTAAAGAATACAATTTTATTAAAAAAATTAAGTAAAATATACTGTGCATGATTGTAAAAGCCATCATAAATGAATTTTCTCGATTTTTGTGTTTTCGCGACCATGGCAACCAAAAGGGATATTGCGCGAGGTTTTAAAAGAGGAAGTCCAGGCGTTTTTGTTTTCATTATCTATAAATAAGACTGTGAGATACACTGAATACAATTTATTCTTTTTGTATAAAATTTATAGATGTACATACATACATAAAATTTGAAGTTACATTAAAAAGATGTTTTTATTATTGCACTCCTTTACTAACTTGTATGTTGTCTTGAATTCGATTTGCTATGGAAGGATAAGCTTTGTTCTTCCCCTGCTCCTGGCGGCTTTCAAAATGGAATTCATTTGCGTTCAAATCTTCCACTCTGTAGTAAATGCAAATGTTGTGCTCAAACAACGTTTATAATTTCACTGGATTTGAGCGATGAGTAATACAGTTCAAGATGAATTTCTTATTACTCTTCACTCATCTGAAAAGGATCAAACATGTCCCTAAACCTCCGCCTCTCAACTTCCGCATCAGCAATCTGGGACTCGTCCTCCTCTTCAAGCAATAACGCCGCGGCTATGGATTTCATTCTTATAATTATGTTTCCACTTAAATTAAGAGCAAACGAAATTTTATTTTTAAATTACAGTGATGCTAGATGCATTTAGTTATTTTAAAATATTTACAAACTCAAACTTCATAAGCTGCTATTGTTTGGTGGCCAATATTTCTTTGTTTTGTTTCGATTTCACACATTCCTAGGCAAACAGCTGA